TCGTCTCGCCGATGTAGGTTGCAGGGCACTCTGCGCAAGGAATGGTGTAAACCACGCCCTGTGCTTTTTCCTTTGGTGGACGGTCTTTCGGTCCGAAAGACCGTCCACCAAAGGAAAAAGCACAGGGCGTCGTTTACACCATTCCTTGCGCAGAGTGCCCTGCAACCTACATCGGCGAGACGAAGAACTTTCCCGAGCGTATCCGCCAACACAAGAACGACGTGCGGAAGTTTGACAGTGAGCGCAGCGCCATCGCCGAACATAGCGATACCCTAGACCAGGGTGTAAGATAGACAGGTGGGGAAACGAGAGCCAAATGAGCGACCGGATTGTGTCCCCCTTGGTTTTCTCCTTTTCTGTGGCGCCATCTATGTGGAGCACCGCAAACTCTCACTCCGGGTAGGCGACCGGTAGCGACCGGCTAAACTGGCGGAGATGGTTTCTCGTGGATTTTTAATGGAGAACTCTCGTGCTCTCGATTTATTTTGCGCACTCTCCCATGGAGTTCCACGCAAATCCGATTCCGACTTTTTTTCCTCTCGCCGCAGCGCCATCTATCGCAAAACGGCGGTACCCGCAAGCAGACGAGTACACAATCCGGTCACGGCGCTGCGGTAGTCTTCTATGGGCCGTTTCCCCACCTGTTTATCTTACACCCTGCCCTAGACCATCGCATTGACTTCGCGAACGCGCACGTGGTGGACACAGAGCCCAATTTTCGAAGAAGACTTTTCTTGGAATCGTGGCACATCCAGCACACCCCAGGAAACCTAAACAGGTCGCTGGGCGCTCTGCTCTCTGTGTACGCACACGGCCTCCGTGACCTGACGGAAAAGCTGAAGAGATGACCATCTTCATAACTAACAAGTTATTTTACAATTTTTCCGATTTCCTAACTTCTCTTCTTTAATTTTTTCTTTTCTCTTTCTTTCTTTTCTTTCTTTTTTTGAAGACGAAGAGGTTGGGAGCTGCTGCTGTGTCCGCGCGCCTTCAGTCACCCCTGAAGAAGAAACCGTGTTGGTTTTGAAACGTCGGGTTGCTTTTCATTTTTTGGTTGGAGATATATTTTCAGACTTTAACATAAACAAGGACCGTCTTTTGACCTCGTAATGTTTGGGTAATTAAAGTCACCTAACAATAAAACCGGAATGTCAGGGAAAAGGACTGTGACTGTGCTGACGACGTCATAATGGTCAGAAAATGTAGAAATTTTTAAAAAAGGACGATAGCAAACGCCCAAAATATAGTTGCGATGATTCAAACAAATGCAAATCCATACTATCTCTAGTTCCATTACAACGTAAACAAAGAATGATGAAAAATGATCAGCCACAGCAATCATAACACCGCCGCTACTTTAACCATCTGTATTTTGCGGCAAATATTAAACTTCTTTTGACAGTGCAAAATTTCACTGTTGCGAATCCTACTCGTCACCACGTTTCTGTCAAAACAACGATGCAAGAATTTGACGAGTCAATTATTGTACAAAGGTAGTCCCACTTATTGATAACACTCCTAATGTTTGTAAAAAAGAGTTGACAGTTGAGCAGATGGCGACGTCTCAATAGAGCCACATTCCCTCTCAACGTGCTACAACGTAGGTACTGCAAGACTGTCGTTCCCTGTTTGAAAGGGGGGCAGGCAAACAGCCGTTATACTGGTCTGCTCGTCGGACACTATCAGAAAGCGAATCATAAAGTTAGCATGTTTGGCCAAATAAAAGTTTGCTGTACCGGAGTTTGAAAGTTGCGTTTTCAGTTGTTCCGAATTGAAGAAGTTTCTTGTTTGACTTTCGTGTCGCTAGACAGAAATCCTCCTTCACTGCAGTTCCACCGTTTTTCAGCTTTGAGCGGAACGATAAAACCTTTTCCTTCATTTTGCACAAGGCGAACTTCAGAATAACTGGTCTGCATCGGTCGTCCGAGAAATTTCCTAACCTATGTGTACGATCGATGCTCTTGGGGATTATTTGGGGGTCTACTGAGTGGGATAGTATTTCAATATTTTTTTTTATTTGCTGTATGTGCCCACGGCTCTGACCTTGAATCCCCTCTTACCCCGTGAAAAATTAGATTCTCGCGCACTCTAAAAAAAGCCCGTGCGCCTACTTTCCCCGCAACACTAGGAGAGCCCATCACCGCAACTTACGGAGGCAGCTCAGCGAATGGCGATGCCGAAACATACGTTTAGACCAAGAAACACAGTCTGAGTTGTGATATTAAGCTATACAAAACGTCACGCTTACATTGCTTAATGTCACAACTCAGATTCCGTTTTTTTGTATAAACATATGATTCGGCATCGTCATCCGCTGAGCTGCCTCCGTAAGTTGCGGTGATTGGCTCTCCGAGTGTTGTGCGTGAAAGTAGACGCACAAACTTTTTTTACAGTGTACGGCCCAGTAGACAAATTCGGCAGTGTGCGGAACGTTACTATTTCAATAATCTATTAGCGAAACAAGTAGCGCCAATGTGGAGCTGGATGGGAGGCGCCTGAACCGAACATGAAAAAAACGCGTCTGAAATGTGGCGATTTTTGTTACGAGTTTAACAAGCCCAATTCTAAAAAAATGTAAATTGGCAAAATTATCATCTCTCTACATGCAAGCGTCGGCCTTTTAGCTTTAATTTACGACGTGCTCAAACGTCGACGCAAATATAGAAAATTCAACGTGCTTTTACCGAGAAGAATAGAACAGAATAGAACAGCTTTAATTGCAACATACATCTTCTTGTATGGTACAATAACGTGGTGATGGAAGCCTCAAGAGCTTGTGTGCTTAGCTGGCCATGTGGCGAAAATTCGGTAGATTGAGAATTATACATACTTTTGTAAAGCGTTAACATTCTAAGTAACGCATCTACAAAGTAATATCTTAACCCCTTAACCGTTTTTAGTTTGTGGGAACTTTTGCCCCTTAACTGCTTAATGATTGTTTTAGAAATCAAACTTGTTGCCTTCAAAATAAAATATTAGCCACAAACAAAATGGGAGCAAAGTTTAAAAAAATATTCAGTGCTGCCATCTGTCGGCACAGCCGCAAACTAAGCCATGAGCGAACCTGATTCTTCCAAAACGGTTGAGTGCTTAAACCGGGGAAAGCAGACGAACTGTACTAGTCCTGAACGGTTCAGAAATGGCTCCACGTTGGCCAGCTAGACTTATCCGAAACGACTCAATCGGCCGGGTATCCAATACCCGGCCGATTGAGTCAAGGCGATCCACTTTCCAAAGACGTTGCCATGCCGACAAGTATCGCGTTCATTTAGGCTTAGCAATGGCCAGAATCGAAAGGCAATCTAAAAAAAATGCGGCGAGGTCATTGCTCATGCTTTACAATTTAAGTGAGGTAAGGCAAAGCGAAAGCCTCCTGCACCATTCGTTGCTGACTAACGCGCCCGATATTGCAGCTACGACATATAAGTTAAAAAGCGAGCGGCGCTCACTCATTGGGGCACCGCCATGTTTCCCCGCAAACCTACCGAGTCAGTCACGTGATTACAAAATCCATCTCCTAGGTACTCCGGCTAACTTTAGCCGCGGTTAGCGCTTCGAGCAAACGGGCCCTAATGACAGTAATTTTGATAAGAACTAGCGCGCCCCATAAAGGCTGTGAAAGTTGCGAATTTCTGTCTGGACAACAAACCAAATTTTCTTTTTTGTTTGTTGATCAAAGATATCTACGATGACGATTCAAAGGCCGCTCCTCGTGCGACCAAAGCTCTGGTCGGAGCGAAGCACTTGTGCCCAGACCGTACTAGACGAGTTTGAATTTCTTTGTTATGCCGCGTTAACAAACACCCGGCTGTGGAGACAACAAGCTCGATAAAGCGCCTCCTACAGTTCTATCTCCTGCCGCATCCTTGTATTATGCAGAAACTAGCTCGACCCAAGTTCATATTACTCTCTGGAAAGGTACAAAGAAATAAACGATAACAAAATCCCGTCAGTGCCAAGACCTCGGGCCGAGATATGCGCTTTGAACGCGACGCCAATGACCAACGACTTCGCCGTGCTGTGTCGCAGCCATCGATCTTACTGTACCGTGCATTAACGCAGGACTGCTCTTTCTTTTCACTCTTTACTCGGAAACGCAATGTTTTAAACTTGATACACAAAATGCATTATCTTCGGTCACCTCCGTACAACATCTTAGCTCGATACTTTAAGAATTCAATTCACCCGATTCTTTTCAAGGCCAACAATCCGTTTGACCCACGCGGTATAAGTTCCACAGCTGGCCTAGCTGAGGCAAACACCTCGCTGACAGCGAAACTGCAATGGTGAATTTCTTTATGTCCCCTCCGACCGGCGGACGCCTATTGGACGCGAGGGCAGCGTCCACGTTCGGCTGGGACTGCTCTTTTACGAACTGAACACGAGCACCAACCGAGCGCTGACCCAGCACTCGTACGTGCTCAATCTGTACCCAGCGCTGGCCGTTCGTACGTAGCCACCAAATTCCAGAGCTACGGCCATGCCATTGCAAAGAGATGGTGGCCAAGCGCAGGTGATAATATTAATAATAGGTATAGTAAATGTAGTGGTAGCAGTAATAATAATTGTGACCTTTATAGGACCGGGAGAGCCCCGGCACCTGTGAAAGGCAAAAGCGATCGTACCGCGAAGGCTCGCAGTGCCGCGTCTCTGATGTCGATCACGCTATGTTTTACGCAAGACGAGGACTGCATGGTTTGTTGTTCGTCGCAAAAACCGTTGCGCAAGTCTCGGAGGTGCGCGACGAGCGAGTGTGTCAATCCGGAGCCGCGCAGGTATTCTATTGGCGACGTGCCCACTCGCAGCGTGGCAGCGGTGCGGCTTTTACGGAAGAACGAGCCGCATCTCCGGGGCCGCCCTTTTGGCTCGGGTCCCTTCGACGAAGCCGTCACCCGGCTCGTTTGCCACGGCGACACGCGTGCGAGCGTTTCCTGCACGGAAGCGCTGCTGCCGTCGCGAGGCACTGCTCGATGTTGAGAGGTGTATCGGATCGGCTGCAGGCTTCCGGATCGGCGCCGGAGACCTCGGGGCCATGGGGGCGAGCCAGAGCCAGCTGACCCGGGAGGAGCTTCGGGACTACACGGTACGAGGGGCTGCTTCCAAGCAACCCTGGACGGACGCACGCGCTCGCTCTTCCTCGGGGCCATTTTCACGGAGTTGCATACGGTACTCAGTACAAGTAGTCAAGTTACTCGTAATCAATTACTTTTGGGACTGACTTTTTTATAATTATTTGACTACAATTTTAAGGAAGTGATCGCCAGAGTAATTGATTACTCTTGGAACGACTAAAATCATTGTAACCTTTGCTTTTTCCTCCGTCCCGTATCTAGTGTCGTCTCTTGTACGTACAAGTTTCCTCCGACGAGATGACGGGTTACAAAAATGGGTAAATTAAGAGCATATGTGGGTCGTAATTTGGTAATTTTAATTCAGTAATGAAGAGTGCGAAAAGCCCATTCACAGATTGGCAGAAAATTCTGATTAAGATGCAATTAAATGCGGAGGTGCAAGCGAGCTGGACACTGATAACGAAAATAATCCCTGGAGAAGGGGAACAAGAGGGACAAAGGACAAACTCAAATCTCCATAACAGCTAGGTGACTTGTGCGCGACCGAAAAAATCCGCCTGGACCGGGTATCGAACCCGGGACCTCTCCAATTCCAGTGTTTCAAAATCTCAAGTAATCGGGGATGTAACGGTCACTTTTTAAAATAACGGTCAATTACTTATCGCCTCGAGTAATCGAGTAATGTAATTGAATACTTTCTGAGGGAGAGTAATTGTAATGGACATTTTGCAGAAATATCGCTACGAGAGTAAAAGGATCTGGTACCCTCTCTCTCTCTTCCTTCTGGCCGAGCAGAGAGGGAAGATGGTTTCTTTGTGTCGACTTCGGGACAGAAGATAACACATGATGGGGCAAACGCGAGTTTGGGGGAGTCGTATTTAGGTCACAGCGGCTCAATGGGCTAACAGGCTGTAGCTGACGTTTCGGGTGCCGAACGGGTGGGAGAGGCCTTGCGCGCGCTTTGTTTTTAGCCACTTAGTCTCGAGCCCAGTGGCGTGGCTATAGGTGGCAGCACACATTTGGCAAAAGGGGACACTGTATGACCGTTGCGATTGCGATTCGAACGCCAGTATGAAGGTACCTTAACTGTTTGTAAGTCGCAGATGTACGCTTTATAGACAAATGCTTCGAAAGATCCGTTAATCTGCCACTCATCAAAGATATAAAATATTGGGTTGCCTTTTCACTTTCACACCACTAAGGCTTTTTTGAGAATCCATAAGGTTTTTAATTTCACTGCATAAACGGTAATACACAAAATTAGCGCTAGAATTCAAGGGATATATTCAGGGTGAATAATCTGGACTAAAAACCAGCGCAAAGAACAAACAAAGAATGAAACAAACGAGTACTTAATTACTGGAGTGGTCAGTTAGACCGTAGTTTTTCAAAACGAGGGCCGAGCTAAGGCCAGGTCTCAGTCCAAAGTCGATGTTAAGCCACGGCCTGTACTTTGTTTTCACACACGGTCGCGCAGAAGAGAAATTCGCATTTCTTTTTTGAATTTCCCGAGCCGCCTTGTGATTCACCACTCGATCTGCCGAGAAAGAGAACAATTGGTCCATTAGATGACCGAAGGCGTTAATGAGTCTGCAACCGTGGAATGTGACTCGCGACCCACAGTGTGTGAAACACTGCTATAGACGATTCAAATAATCTCTTTCTGCGTTCACAACACGAGTCCAAACCCCGCAACGGCATTTTTTTTTCTTAGCTGATAAGCGCTGGAATGGTGCGCACACTAGCCCAACTTTTATCAACCAGGCGACAAAATGACGAATCAGCGAGCTGTGCACGGCGTGGGATATTTCAGAGAAGAGAGCAACTTCTCATGCTCAGAAAGCGTTCTACAGCCCAGTAGACAAATGTGGCAGTGTGCGAAAGGTGACTATTGGAATCATCTATTAGCTCTACAAGTAGTGTCAATGTGAAGCAGGATGGGAGGCGCCTGAACCAAACTTTAAAAAAACCTCGCCCAAAATGCGGCGATCTTTGTGTAATAAAACGTTGTAACGTTTTTAGAGTTCAACGAGCCGAATTCTAAAGTTTTTCAATTTGTAAAACTGTCATCTCTCTACATGTAAGCGCCGACCTTTTACCTTCAATTTGCGACGTGTTCAAACGTCGACGCCAATATATAAAATTCACCGTGCCTTTATTGAGAAGAATAGAACGGAATAGAACAGCTTTATTTGCAGCATACATCTTCTTGTACGGTACAATAACGAGGTGGTGGAAGCCTCAAGGGCTTGTGTGCCCAGCTGGGCATGGGGCGAAAATTGGGTAGATTGAAAATTATACATACTTATGTGAAGCATTAACATTCTAAGTAACGCCTCTACAGAGTAGCATCTTAATAAACAGAGCACGACAACACTAAGCACAACAATGAGAAGCATGCAAAATATATTAGATCCAAAGCAATTAGTGAGGACCTTAAAAAGAAACTACAAGAAGAAATACCACTTATTCTTTGAAATGCTTTAACGATTTCATGAGCTTGTGTTTATAACTTGTAGAACAAAATGGTCTGGGAAGTCATTGAAAACATGTGGTACATAATGCATGCGCATATGTTCGCCATATTTTGTTCTGATTCGCGGAACATTAATTAGAATAAAAGGTCTCAGCGGCCGCTGCTCAGTGTGCGGCATTTTAAAATAAGAATTTCAGAAATGTTTTGAGTATGACTATTTCCCGATAAAAGCCGCAAAATAATTGCACATGAAGTGCGCTAAATTACATTTACTTGAAATTTCAGGTCTATGAAACGCAATGCGCTTAAAACATTTTTAAGAGAGAGTTCACTATTGTACTCCGAAACAAAGAACAACCAAAAAAGATAGTTATACCGTAACGTAGGTAACTATACGTCAGAGCTTGTAGCAACACTTTTCTGACGAAAAACGGCATAAACATTTTTCTACTGTAGACAGTATGAAATGCCCTTAATCTTTTACATAAATATGTCATGTGGGTGTGTCAAGACAAACCACTGTCGAAGTATATACCTAGATATTTTACTGAATTGACGTACCCAATGAGGCTACGTTCACACTATCTACAGCTGGAGGCGTGCAACACTATTGGATGTGAAAGTTCAACCTGTCTGAACAACATTTTAAAGCAATGGCTTTTTTCTTGAAGGTGTATACCTTTATTAAGTTGGAGCTAAATCAATCTATCACGATTCACGATAAGAAGATTCTTTTGAAGTTGTTGAACATCACCCTGATACTTTTTATGACGAGATAATAAAACCGTATCCTCTGCGTACTGAAATACTTTACAGGATGTAACAACGTTAAGGAGATCATTTACATATAACTAAAAAAACACTGACCCTTGCGGAACACCAGCCGCTATGAAAGTTCTATCACTCTTACTAATTTTAGATTCGACAACATGATATCGCCCTGATATATATCCTTTTAAAAGTGAAAGGAATGAACCCCTAAACCCAGTGTGCATAGTTTGGTACAAATAATTTTATGATTAATGCTGTCAAAAGGTTTTGACACATCCAGAACACTGCATAGCTGAACATATTATTATGAAAACCGGAGTGTAAGTCATCATAAAAAATTTTCAATAAAGCCCGAGTTTCTCTTCCCGAGATTAAACCATATTAATGACTAGATAATGCATAAAAGCAGTCTGCACAACTACTCATTGTTCTCAAGAGGTGTTCTTCAAGTGTTCGTGCAAGACATGACACGATGGATATGGGTCAATAGTTTTTAAAGTCATCTGCTGCACCTCCCTTGCACAGCAGTTTTACAATAGCCATTCTCTAGCCAGTCCACCCCATTAGCCAGTTCCCAGATTCAATTATTCGCCAGTTCCAGCTATGGCGGTACCGCGGTGTGGCAATCACGTTTTCTAGTTCTGGGGTGCTAGACTTCAACATACAGATTGTTGCAAACGTTTCTCTTCGATGAAATAATGTGGGTAAGCTTTAACGACGCTCACATCCGAGGAAATTTGGATCACTTGGGCATCCCAAACAGCCATTTTGATAGGCGCCGGCGCGACCTCTTTAGGCGGTTAAACTTCTGAATACCATTCATCATTTCTAGAAGTAAATGCCTGATTGTCTCAATATTTCCTCGCATTTGACATGACGAAATCACATCAAAACCTGGAGACTTTATTTTAATGAGAATAAATAATCCCGCAAGTCACGTTCTGATAACAATGAAGGAAAAGCAGAAGCTTCGTCAGATTCGTGAAGTGTAGTTATCTTGGTCATAACTATCCTGAACGGCACCGGAAGTACAAGCAAAAATAAAAAAACCATTAAAATCATCATTTGTTTTTCTGCATTACAAGGGAAAAATCTTTTATATCGTACCATCCATAGCATGCTTTCTTGTCCAGCCTAGAATTTGATTGGCTAACTCCCTTGCATTTGCTGTGTCAAAACGGTTCTTATCAAATTGGGCTTTTATGTATCTCCTCTTCGGAGAACGGATTAATGCGTTCGCTTTATTGCTCGTAATTTTAAATTCGTCCCTTATGGTTGCATAGCTTGGGAAACATAGCACCGATTCAGAGAAAATCTTTATATTTTGTTTTTGCCGAAAGTATTTCTGACCTAAGTATTTTGATGGCAACCTTTCTTCACACATTGAGAAGTATAGTGAAAATAATTCAACAAAACTGAAGAAATAAGAATTTCTGGAGAAGAAGAGGCGGTTGAATCGTAATTGAGAAAAGGAATAGAGGCTGTCCATGAACTACATATTTTATTGTCTTTTAAAGGGACACTGTACTTCCAAGAAATTCTTAGCTGTCTCGATAGGACAAAACTTATCGCAAATTGAGCCTCTCTCTCTTATCTTTTAATTTGGCAAAGCGTTGTCATCTAGTCAACCTTTACCAGCAAAGTTCCCTGCATCGAACATGCTCATGCGAATGGTCCACACACTCGCTTCCTTGAGCACGCTTGCTGAGTCTGACGGAAGATTGGTGTACTCCGTGAGACAGCTGAGGGATTCGGTTGCTGGGTGAGACTGCATCTCATAAGACACACTCGTCGAACAGGGGGAGTTGCCGCCAACAAACTTGCAAACGCAAGTGCCGAATCGTTTTTTTTTCAAAACACAACTTTATTTTTGGATGCTTTTTTTTTTTTTTTTGTTAGATGAATCGTTTACGTTTGAATTAGCGATGCACACTTTAGTTGCCATTTCAAGTTTACATCTAGGGGACTATAGTAAAAGTTGCAATTATTTGTGGTTATTGATTCAGATGTTCACTTTACGGTTTTGATTCCCCTGGATGAGTTCGACAGCTGAGAGACATTTTTTAGACCATAACAGATCTGGTAGACAATACGTTCAACGGCGATATGGTCACAGACGACACGTTTAGGGAATCGCTCGTTAGATCTTCAAACATCGTCGAAGAGGAAGCAGTCGTTGTTGATGGCGACAAATTCGCACTAGGTTTTTAGTTTTCTTTCCCGAGTGGCATGAAGAAAGAGTCGAATCTTGACCGCTTACTTTTTTGACCAGACAAATTTTCCGCCTGAAAGTATAATCAACATTTCTTAATATTTTTCTACATAGAATATACAGTTGCTTGCAAGGCATGGCGATTATTTGTGCAGTTTAATGTAGTACTTGTCGTTTTGAATTGCGGCTGTTCCAGACGTAAGAGCCGCCGTTCATTTGATTTGCGCGTTTAAGATGGCTCTGTCTTAAAGTCCTCGTCAGCACCGCGCTGAATCACGGAGTGAAGTCTATAAGCTTTCGCCTTCGGGAAACGTTCGAACAGAAGCCACTCCTGCGATTCCTCAAATATGCTGACTTTGCAAACTTTTGCGTTGGGTTTGACCTCGGGGACCGGCCGAAACAGAGAAACCCTCGTCCTACCCAAGCCATGGTGTCGCCTGACGCGACGTCGGCCATTTTTGGTTTAGTCGCCACATGGTGCCAACTAAACCAAAAAGACACCGAAGTGGAGGCTAGCATTCTCCTCTAAAAAGAGATGTGAGAACGTTTAATAGTCCACTGCGACTAAGCAATACACTCGATACAGAAAAGAAACGGGGATTGCGATACGAAAGAGCAACCCCAACAGGATTGACAAGCGGCCTTGAGTTCGTGAGTTACAATGCCATTGGTGTCAGTGCGAGTTTTTAGACAGCGTGCCCTGCACTGATATTTTTTTATATGTTCCCCTTCCAGTTTTTTTTATGGTGGAAAGAGAGAGAGAGAAAAAAAAAGGGGGGGGGGCGACGTTGCTAAATAAGATTGGAAGCCGTTCTTGGTTGTTTGGTGCTTCATTTCGTTTCATCGACGAGATATCGGCGTTTTTGGAAAATACCGTCTGCGCATACGCAGCCCTAAACTGACTCTGGTTCGAAAGTTGTAAGCATGAAAAGACGTGATTGCGTGTTCGAGCGAAATAAGCCGCGGCCTTCCGAGAAGGTGAGTTAGATCCTGCTTCCTAGAGGCAATGGCCTGTGAGTGACTTGAGTTTGCCCACCGTATCCTTTGTACATATTATGGCTTATCTGCGGCTTATCTTTCGCCCCGAACTTCGTTACAAAGAGGCTTCTTCACTCTTGCTTCCGTATGGCCCTCAAATTTCCATACTAATGCATTGCGATACAGGCATCCGACAAAAAACAGCAGTTATTAAAAAAAAAACACGTCAATTTACGCTGATAAAAAAATTCCGCTGATCAAAGAAGCACCCAGCGAAGATGTAGCGCGCAGTGCGAGAGACAAATTTATTTATCGTTTCCTGGTCCTGGAAGGTTCCTTCGCTAATCTTCCGGTGCACAGATTGTGACGTGTCTACCGTGGGGCACCCTTTTCGCTGGCTTACCTCCATTCACATGCTCGCAAAATGAACTACCCCACCATCCAAACGGCTCGCGTGGACTCATGCCCGACTTTTACCGCTCATCCACAAAGGAAGCGGTTGCGAACGCGGTTGTATAAACATCCAGTGCAATCGCACGCGCACTCGATGACATCAAGTGCGCGTGCAATTGTACGGGATCTTTATACAACCGCATTCGCAACCGCTTTGCGAACGCCGATCCGCTTCCAGTGTAGATGAGCGGTTAGAACGCAGCTCTTACCGCTCATTCACACTGAAAGCGGATCCGCGTTCGCAAAGCGGTTGCGAACGCGGTTGTATAAAGATTCAGTACAATTGCACGCGCACCCGATGACATCAAGTGCGCGTGCAAGCTTTTTATAATTATCTCCTTCCTTCCTTTTCCAGGAGCTGACCTACCTGAGCAAGAAAGAGATCATATAGTAAGGGGAGCTTTTAATTATTTCATCATTGCCAAAAAAATAGATTACTAAGTTTTCAACTTAGGAGCAACGCGCAAGTGTGGGACATTTTAAAATTTAAAAAAATGAAATTCAGGAAACGATATGAATATCAGAAAAAGGCTGTTGTTTCATTTTTTTCTGTGTTTCTTTTACTCTGAGCGCGCTATTTTTTAGATAGCTCGTACATTTGGTTATGCTGCAATACAAAGAATTTCTTAATGTTTGCCAACTAAGCTCGATGATGATTAAACTGAGCTTATGCATGTACCATTATATTACACCGAGGTTAGAAAAAAACCAACTTTTTATTTTTCCCATTCACCGAACAGCGTACGCCAAATTGCGAATATAATTCCTGCTTTTGGTTCCGCTCACGTTTGCCTGGTGTTTTTACTCTGGGAGGTAAAGCTGTCCTTTGCAGTGGCCCTTATTAGAAGGACCGCCAACACACTAAGCAGTTAAGTAAAAGGACGGAAAACGTATAGGTTAAACATATAAAATGGCGCAAAAAAGACAAGGACAAGAGGTAAACAGGAGAAGCGCTAACATTCAACTAGATCTACTCAGGAATAGCAAAGCATGTATACGCACCACACGCGAAACAACAACAGATAAACGCTATCAAGTCAGTATCCGATTATGCAAAAACCGAAATTCATTGTCATAAAACACAACTGATGTGTCGCTGACACATGCCGTCCCACTTTTTTTTATAAGGAACGCCTCCAAAAGTTCACGAGCGACAGTCTCACGGCTTCTCCCCAGAATCCTTATCCGCTGAAGTTGCACAACATAGCCACACGTGTTGCAATGTATAGGCAAATGCGATCCATATTTATTTTTTACTGATAGTGCGTGCTCACGTGCTTGGTCATTGATGCACCGCCCCGTTTGGCCGATGTAGACCTTACCACAACTCTGTGGTATTTCGTAGACAACACCCACTGTGCAATCCAAGTAAGGGGTGACGTGTTTCTTATCACATGGTCTTTTTGACTTCTGATTAGAAAGGCGGGAGCACAACCCAGCCAACTTCTTTAGGGAGGTGCATCCAATGACCGAGAACGGGAGCACCCACTATCAATAAAAATTAAATATGGCTCTCATTTGCCTATACATTGCAACACGTGGGGCTGTGTTCCGCAACTTCAGCGGATATGGATTCTGGTGAGAAGCCGTGAGACCGTCGCTCGTGAAATTTCGGAGGCGTTCTTTATAAGAAAAAAGTGGGACGGCATGTGTAAGCTACACGTCAATTGTGCTCCATGGCAATGAATTTCAGTATTTGCATAATCGGATACTGGACTTGATAGCTTTTATGTGTTGCTGCTTCGCGTGTGGTGTGTCTATATATGCTTTGCTTTTCCTGAGTAAGTTTTAATTGATAATATATTCATCCGCGTTTTCGCGTGTGCAGTTTTAGTGGCGTTTATGAAGTGAAACACTATTCTCATTTAACTAATTAAAAAGTTAATAAACACGATTTAGTTAATGATCCGACTTATCGTGAGGATTGGCACTTTATAATATGTCCCCCGGCCGTAGAACTCACCTGCACAGAGAAAATTAGAGTACCTTTTGAGGCTTTCGTTTTAATATTTCTTTCAATATTTTATTTTTATTTTTTTATGGTCCACACTGATAATCTGTCACCAGTTTGATTTGTGTGTGTTAGTTTGTTTTTGTTATTGTCTCGTTTGCTATATTTTATGTTACGCCACATTGCGTAATTTTAGTTGCCTTGGCTTCTGTATATACGACTGGAATGTCAATAATTAAATAAACATAAAATTAAACGACCTGTTTGCTGCAAATTCTTTTTAGTTGTATGGTAATTTCGATGTTCTGGATAATAACTTCATCGAACATACCATTTTTACTTCGTTATTGGTTCATGGGCATCATATAAAACGCGTGCTGTTCAAAGGCAAAGGATGGGCGGGAGTGCTTAAAACTATATCTGGAACTAAAAAAAAAAAAAAAGAAAACCTGGGAACGAGAGCCAATAACCTAATAGCGAAATGCATACGTCAAAGGTATCATTGTATGTATCAACGATACATCCGAAACATTTGGAAGTTTGCAGGTCGGGGCCATACTGATGCTTGGTTCACCGACCCACTGAAGACTCTTAAATTGGTACTAGAAATATGCAAAGAGTAAATAACAAAAAACGGCCTTCTCAACGAACTAAATTAAGTTTTACCAAAATAAACTAACTTAAGAAACGCAGGCGGAACTTTTTCCGAGCAAAGAGAGACAAGTTGTTCTAAGATATCTCCACCTATACTCGACTCGACAATTACAATCAAGTGATAACTCCCACCATCAAACCGACCAAAGCAATCCAAAAATAATGACTAAAGGGAAAGATGCATTAAATATATATATATATATATATATATATATGTATAAGTACACGTAAAGGATTTATTTATCAGAGGTGTTTCATGCTTCGACGTTTGTAGCTTACCCTCGCTCTCCCTACTATAAAGAAGCCCCTTCCCATAATTCCATATTGTCACGAATGGAGGCAATGAAAGGATGAACAGTGAACTAAGAATAAAGGTTTAATAGGCGAACTTGTGCCATGTAAAATAAAAGACGAGCTTCGAAACATCAGAAAAGCGTGTGGCGATTTGGCGGCGTAACAGCAAGTTAGGGCGAGACTCACTAGACAAGGTCCCGGTCAGTTCCTTATAAGTTATATAGTGTGCGTCACTAGCTCGAAAATTAGGCAAAGAAGCTTCGAGCGTCGTGCGCTGGGGGCGAGAATGAGCAGGCACTTTCGAGAGCAATAATCTATGACGAAATGATGAAAGTTCCGCCCCGAGTAGGATAAACGCGAATCTTTTAGAATTCCGTGACCGAGCGTTACTTGTTCGGCCCTGCGCACGGCATTATCCACCCCTTTTAAAGCGCGTCGTCCCGTTGCAATGAGAAGCGAAAACAAAAATGGCTAAAAAATTATGGTGTGACAAAACAAACATGCAGTGTCACAATCCTAACGCGCGTAGAACGGCTTGAGTCGAACCACGTGGACCACTTCGGGTCGTGGCTGGCGGCGTCCTGCTGGTCGGGTTCCGTCAGGGAGCACCTCGTAGTTCAAGTACCCAGGGCAACGAATGACCTTGTAGGATCCAAAGTAGCGTTTTAACAGTTTTTCGCTGAGGCCGCGCCGGCGAATGGGCGTCCACACCCGCACAATTAATAATTACTGAAAGTAATTATTCCCATAATTATATCAAACACTGTTCTCTCTTCCTAAATCTGCCCTTTTGGCAGGGACCAATTTTACATCAACCTTTTTTTTTGCTATGCGTACAAGAATGATCTGTCCCGCGTTTCATAAAATACCCAGTATACGCATAGGTATATAGCTGAGCGCTTCTTCCAAAAGCATGCCTTTCATACAGTATATATTTTAGAAAAAAAAATTATTACTTCGACTATTAGTGCATGAACTTACATGAAAACGGCCAACGACAAAGCCTTGTAGCTATCAATTCCTGTCTCTATTCTATTGCACGGCATGCATGGATAATTAGAAATGATAAGCTGGTTTGTTTGCAGTCACACAGTGTTGAACACCAAGATATTGGCCTTCAAATTACTACTTCTCTAGCCTTGTTTCCTCGGTGACAGAACTTGCTTGTGTGCGGGCTTTGCGTTTCGCGGTAATGGGCTGTGGGCAGAGATGTGAAAATTACTTTAAAGAAGTAATGAAACTAGATTACGAATTACTCTCTCGAAAACCGCAAAAATGTAATTAAATTACATCACAAACTACCGCAAACAAAAGGTAATGACAGTACATAACGATTACTTCTTAAAAGTAATTAAATTACTTTGACATTACTTTTGAATTCCTTCAGGCAGCAAGTCATCGTCCTTTACGAACTGTACCAGCCATATGTGACTCAAAGTCAGCCACACTGAGCAGTCAGCCCACTGAAACATACGACGTAAATGTTAAACATGAAGAATAGCTTCTTTTGGTCTTGCCATAATAAAGTCGACTCGCCGGTTTTTTTGTTCAATCAATGGTGAAGGTCTTTAGTTATGTGATTATGTGATTCCGTCTTCCCGATTTTATAGAAGTTGTAGTCCATCTCGGTAACACAAGACGGGCAATGGCAGCTCGTCCTCACAAGATGTCGTAATGGGAAATGACTCCCTTCTGACTCGGACGGTGTCTAAACCTTTTCTCCCGTGAAATCGCTATTCGGCGCATTTCCGGACGTTTGTCTGGAGTATTTTTGTTCCAAAGAGAGAAAAAAGAAAGCCGAAGCTATCGCGCATTACTCCACAAGGGGGCCGGATATTTTCCGGGCAGACACTCCACCAGGGAAGGAAAGGGGTGGCGGTAGCTTTCTAGATCAACGTAGCAACATATGCACTTTTGCTCAATCCTTACTAAACTTCGCATGGAAAAGGCAGGGGGCATTTTTACTTGCGTTGCTCGCTTCCCAGTCTTTTTGAACTAGAGAAAGCATTTTTATCTGCCAATGCCAAAGGCACGCAAGAAACGTACTGGCTCCTTGACAGGGCATTTGGGGTTAACTAATGAATCCGGTCATTTGTGTTTTTGTGTCGGAATGGTCGAAGCCTGTCGGTTTGGCCTTGCTTGACGAAAAGGCAAGGAGACAAGAGATCTGCGTGTCGTCTCAGGTTTTTAAAATAGGTTCCCACTCTTGACTTAGCAAACTGGTACCATCCTGATGGCATGGCGCAGTGAATCCGCCTTTTCTGGAGCTTTGTGAGCCGTGGTCTTGGAGCGGTGTCTTTCCACGAAAGCATTTCCTCCTCTGCTTCACCATTCTAGTCCGCCTTTCTGCTTTAGTCCTGTGCCACGTAACGAGGCTTTGCGCTCAGATGAGCCTCGTTTAATTTGCACTGAGTCTATTGCCTCTCTCTCTCTCTCTTTCTTTTTCACAACATTTTACCATGGAAAAATATATTTCCCATTCTTTTGCCAAAGATAGCGAACATACTGTCTTAGTTGCGACAGAAGTAATTTAAAAAAAAATAATGAGTAACTTTCACTGATATTAAACAGCGCACAAAAAGTCGGCGGAAGAAGAGAAAAGGACAGTAGAACTTTCACAAAATTGTTGCCTGAATGCAATTCATTAGATTAAGAAATTGCCCATCTAGAAATGTAATTTACTAGATTACTTATTGCCGCGAAAAGTTATTTAAATACTGTAATTGAATTACAGTAATGTAATTACTGCTACCTCTGACTGTGAATACACTTCTGAACTCTGGGCAGCAGTGCCGCCCGCCGAGAGTTTTTCGTAAGCAAAAAGCCCGGGGATGTAAGGGGGCATCGCAATGAAACAATAATATAAGGCTAAGCTAGGGACAGTCAGACCCTACGATAGAGCAGCACCGCTGAACAACCTTTGTCGATTCTAGAAAGTGCCTCTTTGGAGCCGATATCGTTCGTCGAAGCCGCTATAACAAAGTCAAGCTAGCTCACTTTGTGGGAGATTTGTTGTCTTCCTTTTTTAGAAATTCTATATTTGACTCAATGTTTTGTCATCACAAATTAGTTCAAGACACCACAGAGAATTAGGGTAGGGAATTAGGGTAATGCAAGACTAACTTATTTTTTTAATACTAAAGTGTAATTGTGTTACATTTAGATAAATCAGCTGCATTTCTGCATTACTAGCACAACTGCAATTATGGCGAAGAATATATTTTTATATTCGTAGAATACATTCAAAGATGCTCGCTGGGGAATATTTTGCGCCATTTTACAAGAAGTTGTTTGTTGGTATATGATTTGTGAATCTGTCTCTAAAACATTTTTACATGGCGTGTCTCCTAGATTTTTTCCATGAAAATGTTTCACTGTAATTTTTTTAAATATTTTGTGTGCATATTTTAAACCTTTCATAAAATAAGTAGAAATATTAATATTACTACGTGCATGCTTCGGTGTGAAATTTACGGGTGTGCAGAATACAACTGTGAAACCTTGCCGATCTCCACGCCTCGATCTTGGAAGTTTCATATCTCCGTAATAAAATTAGCTACAACGTTTACATAATGTTACCCGCGTCGCCGAGCGTGTGCGGGAGTGGCCGAATGGGTTACCGTGCTTGGCTTTCAAGCGGAAACTCAAGGTTTGATTCCTGGAGGCGGAAGCTCCTTTTATTTATTCTTTCAACTTAGCGTTCTCGTGAGCTTGAAATCCTTGTCGTCTGATCGAGGTTCGATTATTCTACGTGCGGAGTGTTCTACGCCGAATGTTCCAGAAACCCACGCGGGTACAAAAGCTGCTCCGCGTGGCAGTCCGATGTCAGTTCGCCCTTGCACTCGCGATCGTGCCACTCTGCCGACCTTGAACGCTTGCAACACTACCTCTTTGTATTTTGTTTTGTTTTGTTTCGGCACAAGTTCCCCCTATTAAACATTTAGTTTCCAACTACACTAACCGTCTGTCTCCCAGAAGCTGCAGCTATATTGCCATTCAATGACAATATTGCATTGAATATTGTAAATGAATGACAACATAGCTGCATGCTTCTCCCAGGACTATGAATTTCACATATATTGTTTACATAAATATTTAAAAAAAACACATGACTCTGATCATTATTGTATGATCTGACCCAGAAAAACCCTCCCCTGTGTTTTTTTTTTAATCATTTTAGCAATTAGCAATATGTAAATAAAAAAAATTAGGCGCACAGCACAGGTAGTATTGTGTGTTTTATTATTACAATACCTGCATGAGCTCTAAGAGAGATTGTTCTGGGCCAGCTAAACTTGTGAGTTACGCTACTGAAACTATAGAATTTTCCGATGTTTCCTCATGCGCTTTATTCGTGTGGTGCTATGGGATATGGGCCGTACGAGTTCATACAGCTTCTTTGATTAGGAAACCTGCACAATATACAATCAAACAAATTTCCGGGGATTTACGTGCGAAACCAACGCCCCAGCAGAGGACTGAGGATTTATGTGGACCACCTGGGGATATGTTGACGTTGAACCGAAAGCTGGACTACACGGCGCCTTCTCCGCAATTAGACTCCGCCAGATTGCGGGCACCTCGGCCAGGATAAAACAATCAAACGAGAAAAGATTCGATTAATAAAGAAGCATTGCAAATGTATCGGAATCATGGCTTGAAGGTTTCCCTGACACTGACTCGTTTCTTCAGCGCTTTCAAACGGTTCAAGGCCATCTCGCCGGACCAGGTCAACTCCGACAAGGAGATTCGCCTCCCAGTGCGGGACGTCGAAATTCTGCCTGAGTTCAGTGTGAGTCGCAATTTTTTTGTTGTTTGTTTTCGAAGGGCGGAGGGATTCAATGTGCTTCGGACGGCCTCGTCGTGCTGTTTTCAAATGTGTGGCATTGTTTGTTTGATTGTTGTTACTTTAGTCAACTGCGGGATCATGCTGAGAAAACCCCGAGACAAGTTTTCTCAGTATGACCCGACACCACCTCGCCTATACCGATCAACCCTTAGGGCCTCATTTCACTAACTGCACGATGTGGTATCTGCATTACTTTCTGGATGCTCACGGACTCGGATGTACTGAGGTGGGGAAGATATGTCTTTTCAAAGTTTCAGCTGGTAAACCTAGAAAACTAAGAATAAATAATGGCAATATTAAGAAGGGTAGATAAATCCAAACAATGGATTTAAATTTCCGTACGGCCAATTTTCTGGATTATATGAATCGTCCGTCTCGTCGGTAACTCGCATGCAGTTATAGCTGCACGGTGATAATGAAGAGAGCAACAAGTATGATGATGACGCTTTCTTCATTTCGAGGTTCAAACTGCTATGGGAATGACTGCTGAGCCGATGTGGAAAGCTGAGTGTTCAGATTAAGTGACTGTCGAGTCCCGACTCAGAATTCCGGCAGTAGTGGATGCACTCAAAGATTTTAGTATGCAGTTGACACATGGTGTCAGCGGATTACATGAGAGGAGCTCCGGTATCGCTGAACAAACGTTGCTGAGGATGTTAGAGCCCTACCAGAAGCCTCGGTGAGACTGTCCTCCGGGGACATATGGAGGTGCAGGCAGCATAAATAATGCCCTAACGGTGTTGATCGTAATGTACGTTATCGTATTCTTGGTATAACACGACTTTTGTTTGGGCTAGTTGGTTCTTACTAGACATGATTAAAATAGCGCAAACTTGACAAGAAAAACAAAGAAGGCACACGTACAACAAGGCTGCAGCTTACTTCCAACTAAGTTTATTTCATCATCCAACCAAGCAATATATACCATCGCCAGCTCACCGACGGCATGCTGACGTACTTGTCTCCCGCTTTTTTCATAAAAAACGCCTCTATAATTTCTCTCTCTGTCATGTCCTTTATAGAGGCGTTTTTTATCAAAAAAGCGGGAGAAAAGCGCGTCAGCATGCCGCTGGTGAGTCTCATTGACAAAGAATTATTTTTTCTTGGTGGTTTTATCTGAAGAAAGGCGCGTGGAATGCATATAATCTTTATGTATAACTATTTTTGTGTTTTTGTGTTTTTATGTCGCTGGCGATGGTTTGCTTGGTTGAATGATGAAATAAACTTAGTTGGAAGTAAGCGCCAGTCCTGTTGTACGTGTGCCGTCTTTGTTTTCCTTGTCAAGTTTGCGCTATTTTAATCATGTCTCGTATTCTTGGTGCTCTTTTAAGGCTGGTTCACACACTGAGTCTTTACGGCCGAATACTTTAAAACCTCCACGACTTTTTTAGACAAGGAAACACACTGTAGCCGTGTATTGGGCAGCTTGTAACATTAGTAAGGTGGTAAGCTGGGCGAGTTGGTACTGGTTGAACATAGTGAACAAAATTTCGCGTGTCACTCTTTCTAACTTTTTGTCTTCTGGACGAGTTGGTATTGGAAAACATTACACAATTTCGTAATTCTCGCATTTTTTGCGCATCCCTCTTTCTTCTTTGGCTTGTATTTTTCGATTTTCTGATGAAACCTTTTAATAAATATTGCGTACATTTCATCTCGCGAGTACTTCAAAACCTTCGCTCTGCTGAAATGCAGTTCCAGGTTGACCTCGTACAGGAGTCCAGCGTTCGAGTGTATTCTTTCGTCGTAAGAGATCACAAGAACTATGTCCCAAGCAAAAGCAAATGTGTAAACGGGCCTTTCTCTGGAGAAAAGCAAGGCACCGTGTGTTTTGACTTCAGGGTCTTGGTTGCCCGCGGGGCACGGAAACACCGCGGCGCTTTTTCGGAGCGACTGTAGAGAACTTGGTGGCCGAATCCCCAGACCCTGTAACAGAAAGTTCCTGACAACTACGTCCGAGCTATAGAGGCTAGGAGAGCCACAGGGCACGTCAGCAGGGGTTAGACAAATTTAGCCTCAAAGTGTGTTCTGGAATTGTGCGCTGCGTTAAAAAAAGATTTTAGAGAGCACCTCTTCGGCGCCCGTTTCCGGCTTGAGCGGCGTCGCGGTCGCCGTCGGCGTCGGCATAACCGCACATTGCATTATGGGACGTCCCCATAATTACGTCACGAGGGTTACGAGTGACGTCACAAGGAGGACTAGGGTCACGAGTGACGTAACGAAGGTTCCTCGTGACGGTCACGACGGAGGTCACGACCTTTACAATGAAGGTAACATGAAGGTTACGACCTTCACGAGGCCTTCAAGAGTGACGTCACGAGGGTTACGAGAAAGGAGGGAGGGAGAGGAGAGGGGGAGGGGAAAGAGGGAGGGTGGAGGAGGGGAGGAAAATGAGAGGAGCAGGAAAAAGGAGGAGGAGGAGGGGCATACCCCACTCTCCGTACCTCACCTCCTCTTCCTCAAGAGCTGCGCTCTAATTCGACATTACAGGGAGTTGTAAACGTCTTTCATTTTTTTCTTTTGTCATTTCAATTAAATGGTGATAAATACATATTGACATATTCCCAAGTCAAGGGAAGTTTTACTTTGTTACGAATGATACTGAGCATAGTGGGAATAGTGCGGCTTAAGCTTTGAGTCTCTCCATCGGCGTAGAATTGGTTGCTAGAAACTGGATTTCTTGTTAGACACCTGAAATCCAGTATGCAGACAATTGTCTGCAAACTGGATCTGAGGTTTCCAGCGAGAAATCCAGTAAGAGTTTCTGTTCCATAATGCAGTTAGCGAAAAGTTATACTGTTTTTTTCGGTAAGGTTAATTACTCATGAATATCACGAACAAATATGAATATTTGATTTTGCGAATGCTGCAAAGCTTTGGGTCTAGTCATATGGTGATTGGAAGTGTTCAAGGGCTATCCGACAGACGATGACAGCGTGCTAGAGTGCCAGCCGTGGAAAATGTTGAACTGAGGCTTGCGCTAAGCAGCGAAATAAGATTTTTTTACCATCCGCTATTAATCTCTAGTATTATGGGAGATAAATTAATTGTTAAAATTAAAAGCCTGGGCTAAGAAACGCAAGCCGCTGCCCTATTCAGCCGTATTATTGCATCCACCAGGGGCTGAGAGAAAATTGCCGAGCGCAAGAAGCTCACCCGCGAACCGAATCGGGGGCCCCCCTGTCATGGCCGGCAGTGCACAAATATGAACCAAAATCAACAAGGCAAAATTACATAAAGTTAGAAAAGAAATTATTAGGTGTAGACGCAAAGCCTCCACTTTTCTACCCTCATATACCCATTTAAGAGAGGAAGCATCCCTCACACGTAAGGCGCAAACACACACTCTACTTACACCGCGCTATATCCATTACATTAACCATGCTCCAGGCCGACCCATCTGCTCGCACTGCTGTGGATACCCCCCCCCCCCCCCCCTCTAACGAGCGTACATTCTAGGACTGCTCTGCAGCCCACCAGAGTCGCTATTAGTCACTATCAGTCGCCCCAACACCTTATCCTAAGCGGCTGGTAGGAATGGTCTTCCCCCTTCCAGAGCTTTAAAAGCTGTGGTGGCTGCCCCTTGCTCATCACCTTCGAAAAGTGGTGGACGACGGAGGTCTCAACACAGTTACCAAGGTCCGGACTTGGGGTAAAGATTGAGGAGCATCTTTGATCTAAGTAATAGTTGTTCTCCCTTTCTCTCTCTCTCTCTTTCTTTATGCATCCAGAGAATGCGTTTTGTGGTTACAATGGGTAGCACTTTTTGAAGGCGCAATCGGGAACAGCTGGTGTTTTACTACGTGGCGTGTTAGGCCCCCCCCCCCCCCCCCCCCTCCAAATTACGGCGCTTCGCGGCGACAGTCTGCGGATGGCTCGTACACGTCGCTTCCCGGAGCACCGCTGGCGGGCCAAGGCCCATTGTCCTTCATTGCACCTCCGAAAAGTCAATTCCGGTTACAAAAAACCCCAACGCACTCGGTTGCAGTCGAACGCAGATGTGCGAACCAGCCTTAATTCTGAGCGGTGCGCGTGTGTGCAGAGCAACCCGTTCCGGGACCGGCTGCTGCGCACGTTCTCGTCACTAAAGGACGATCGCCTCTCCTTCGAGGACTTCCTGGACCTGCTCAGCGTGCTCAGCGAGGCCGCGCCCATCGATGTCAAGATGGAGTACGCCTTCCAGGTCTTCGGTGAGCGAAAGCCGCCAATCTAGCCGGCCCTTCAGTGAACTGTTTTATTGACGCAGGATGGCGTTTAATGGACGTGAAGTAGAGATTTCGGGAGTCATTGCATGCCGCCATGTGCAGTCGCGGCACGTCACAACTGGTCAGGGTTATTCAGCAGTTGCTAGGAGAGAACTGCGTGCGCCTACTTTTTTAAGCCCCGCCCGGCCCGGGTCCGCTGGTTCTTAAGTTTTACCCGACCCGGAGCCGGACCGATGGGATGCCTACCTGATCAGTCTCGTCTCGGGCCCAGCACGGTGAGAAGCCGAGCCCGTGCGCCTCATCTCTTAAATTCAAAGCTGTCCTTGGAAGGTGTCGGCGCATTTGAATCGTTTAGCCTAATTTGAATGAAAGACGCCGTCATATCGCAGTCGCGTGAGGAGCCTTCGAAAGCTTACAGAAATGTAAACGCTTACCTTTGGTAGCCAGAGGGCGTGTTTTTTTTTTCTTTCTTCAAAAGTTTGAAAAGGAAAGGGAATGCCAAGCGTACTCTCCCATATGTGACCGGATTTCACTAATTTTCATGCCTGCTGTCACCTCTCCCGGTATGCTGATAGAATCCCCAGGATTCTTCTCCCTGTCTTCTTACGAGCTTTGTTAGTCTATGGCAGCTTTTTTTATTTTTAAGATTTGTTTAGAGGCGTCGTAGCGAGTTTGCACTTCAGCTTTTTTGTTTCGTTCACATTCAAACGATCAATGTGTTAGCATTTTCTTGACAACGTTTTAGAAAGTGCGCTACAGCACTGCCCGAGCCTGGCCCGGGCCCGGGCAGAAAAACAATATGCGCTATCTCACCCGGGCCCGGCACGCGGGCCGGGCCAACACCACCTAGACAGAAGGCCTCCACATGGTCTCCTCTCCCTTTATGAAACGTCAGAAAAGTCGGATAGCGCTACTCGGCTATTGGGCCCTAGCCCGACCTTCGGCGCGCTGATTGCACACAAGCCTTGGCCGAACACTGACACAGCACTCGTGAGCAATCTCACGCCTCGATCGATCTGGCTGTGATGACGTGTGCGGAGGCCTTCTGTCTAGGTGGTGTTAGCCGGGCTGAGCCTGGGGTTTCGGGTTGGCCCGGCGCCGTGCAGAGCTCTAGTTACTAGTCCGTCATAAATGTTTCCTAAGCCATGCACCCTTTTTGCGGGTAAATATTTGCCCTATATAGTCTCGTGATGGGACCACGCTTTTATTTCTTTTTGTGGTGCAGATTAAAACCTTCGCATTTGAGTTAGGTCCTCCACTAACGGTTATCCACTCTGGTACAGGCTCGTGACGTTTTACCAAGCTTTTCATCTTGCCGCGAAAGAAAGCAAACATTTAAATACACTTTTTTTGCAGTTTGGACGGCATGCTTCACCGCCATTCGGGTTTTTCAGATGCTAGATTATTCTAAGAGCAAAAAAATATTATACGGGACACAGTCATGTTCCTCCACAGCTAATAAAAATAATAATCCTTGGGCTGATGAACAGTTATTTTTCAGTACTCGCTAAAAGATGTTCCAGAGAAAAAACCGCGTTCCAAAAAAGTTAAGCGCATGTTGAATAGTTGTCGGCCTTTTGCGAAGCAAATAATTGACGAACCACGGTGCATTAATACACTTCTCTCTCAGCCGCACCTTGATTGGGAAGGTGCTACTATGCAGTAAAAAAAACAACTAATGTTTTTGCAAATGAAACAACGCACTTCTTTACACGTAAAGGAATGCAATGTCCACTTTCTTAAGAAAAACTCTTCCACTACAGGGGTGGCGGAAAGTGGCTTTCTGTGAAGTAACTGGAATGCCTTTTCCCAATGATGGATGCAACAAAGTCATTTAAAAATCTCGCTAAAGGAAAGTTGAGAGAACCACCGGTTTCTTTCAAACAACCAACAGGAGTTTGAAGACTCCAGAGAAATAAGGAAAGTGGTATGATGGTTTCGCTTGTATAACTCTGCTTATAAAATGCATGTGCTCATGATCGCAAAAAACATGAAGCGTGACATAACCTGACGAAGATACAGGTGGGGCAACCAGTGCCTACCATGATGGACAGAAACAGGTAGAGCTCCGTCATACTTGCTCCCAAACTGAGCTCAGTATAAATGTTGCAAAAATACTGTGAAATTTTTGAATTCGTATGAAGTAGACGTAAAGCACTTTTATAACGTAACAGAGTTTTTGCACCAAAGAAACATCGCACACCGTCGCTTGGGCGAAGATAGATGAATCTTAGTGCCTGCGTCTTGGAGCACATCTGCCTAGGTAAGCAGTCACTTCTGACCAATACACTTTGTTTTTGAAAGTATCGAAATAGTACGCCAAAATAACTAGTTGGGTCGTATGGGTCATTAAAAAAAAAAAATAAAGCTCAAGCTCGAAGGGGAGCCATCCTGGCCAGTGAGTCCGCTGAGCCATCTTGGTTCAGTGGACTTTGCTTTCGTTCAATTCTTTTGGGAATGCAATCAGCTTCAATCTCCCTTCAGGTGGAAAAATTACATTTTAACTATAGCACGTAATTTTCAGATATGAAGTTTCGTCCAAACCATCTATATAAAAGAGCAAGGGCATCACTGGTTGCATCTAAAACCAAGCACAACTCCCGATGAAGTAATTTGTGGAAAACTTGCCTCACTATAAATTACGACTTTCATAGTAGTGAAGCGTGATTAAAAGGTAAAAGAATTGCTTGTAATATTTCTAAAAATTATCCAGTATAAACTTTACAGATATACCGAAGCAAATCTGTTGTAATAGCAATGCGCAAAGTATTCGTTTTAGCATGACGTCTATAAGGAGGGCAGTCTTTTAGCGTCAACTATTAATCATCACCGTACCAACTAGACTACACCATGCTTCCATGGCGTGGTCGTACGTATAAGCATGCAGAGTACTTTGAAAGGCTTCTGATCACGAAACTTCGGGGAAGTTTTAGTTCAGGGTCAATAACTTCGGCCGAAGAAAGCATTTTCGTTTGGCCGCCACGTTGTCAGTGAGCCACCCAAAATTCGCGGTTACAAGTACTTTTCGAAACAACAATTTCTCGTACACCGACAATTTTTCTGTCTGTAATTTATCACTGTATTCAATCACCGGTCATTCTTTATTGATGTCTAAAACAGAACTTAGAAATAAGCTTTTTCAATTTATTTTCAAACAAAGCGGTGTTTTTACAAGCGAAAAAAAGCCGGGAAACGAAACATACGGCTTCGCAGTCCAACTACTTGATAGTGCGAATCGTGGCGCTGGAGTATGACGGCGATAGTGGTATTGAGAATTCATTATGAAGCAAAAAAAATATATATAATTTGGAGAGCGTTGCAGAAGAAAAAGTTCCATTGGTTGACTGAGTGCACAAAGCTGAAGACGGTCACATTAACGTGGGACGCTATCAGCGCGATGACGAGTCACCGCCGTCTATTGGTGGCTCGTTCAGAGTGAGTTCGAAATTCCGATACCACTTATGGTAGCCAGACTTCCAGCGGTGCTGGCTAGATTGGTAGCTTGAATAGACCCCTCGTCGACAGTAGCGCCGCGCTTGGTCGGGTACCAAACTTTGACATAGCGGTACGGATAAGTTTCTTGACCAGTGGCATATGAGCCTATTGCTAAATTACTCAAGCATCATAGAGAATCCTGGGAATGTCAGTATACGCGCCGCACGCACTCGCCTTCACCGTATAGATGATTTGAAGTAAATACCCAAAATAAGGCGGTGACAAGCACGGGTGCATCATGACATTCGTTTTATGCTTTTGTTTGCTTTAGAACAGTTACTACTGCCATACCCTCCTCTATACTCACGAAGCCTGGCAGTTCGACGACCGAGCCATTGAGTGCCCGATAGCAGATTTGGAGCGTGAGGATCTGGTAGCACAGAGCATCAAAGAGCCATTTCTCAGAGAACCTGGACGTCACCGCACAGCTTCTGCAGCGGCGAGGACCCGAAAGACAGTTGTCCACACAGGAGAAGTGTGTTTTGGCGTCTCGTCGCAGCGGGGCGCCAGTCACGTGGCTCTCCTTTTTTTTTAACGTTAATATGCACTTTAAAAAAAAAATAGTAGAATCTGCGACGCTGATGGTATGCAGATACGTCCAATTAAGTATGTTGTTGATATAATTGCCCCCGCTTTAAATCATATTTTTAATCTCTCCTTAGCGTCTGGTGTATTTCCAAGAAGGATGCAAGTAGCGAAAGTAACCGTTCTGTACAAAAAAAGGTGATAAGAATGAGTTGGGGAACTACAGGCCCATTTCTATACTGCCCGTTTTTTCTAAAGTGTTAGAAAAAAATAATTCATCGCCGTTTAGTAGACGTTTCAAATAAACATGACCTTGTTACCTCCTCGCAGTTTGGTTTTGGAAATAATTGCTCAAATGAAACAGCCTTACTTAGTCAAAAAGAATTTATATTAAAAAACTTTGAAAAAAAAAACTTGGTTCTCGGGATGTTTTTAGACTTCACCAAGGCGTTCGATTGTATTAGTCATAAGGTCCTATTTAAAAAGCTTGAAGTTTACGGTATCCGTGGGCAGGCGCTATTACTTCTGCAATAATATCTAGAGCATCGACAGCAATATGTATCCATCAATGGTAATTCCTCCACTATTAAGCCTGTTACGTCAGGCGTTCCACAGGGCAGTGTACTAGGGCCATTCCTTTTTAACATGTACATAAATGATATAATTAAAGTCAATAAAGAGGCAAAATTTTTAATGTATGCTGATGATGCATGCATATTGTTTTCCTCTGAAACCGCTGATGAGCTAATCGATATGGCTAACTTAACTTTGTCTAGAATTAAATCTTGGGGCGATAGTAACTCCGTTGACAGTAAACAGTAGTAAAACAAAAGCTGTTATTTTTCGTCCAAAAAATAAACCTGTGGTAGTGTCTAAGCTTCTCCGTTTTAATTCGTCTCGAATTGAAATAGTGAGTTGTTTTAAAACTCTTGGAGTATTTTTTAGTGAAAATATGTCCTGGGATAGCCATATAAACTATATTATTCCAAAACTAGCTCGCGTGGTAGGGATTGTAAATCGCTACCGTTACATATTGCCAACAAATGTGAAACTCTTGATCTATAACTCTTTGTTTTACTCCCATTTAGCCTACTGCTACCTCGCTTGGGGTACATCAACGTTAACTAATATTGAAAAACTGTTCCTACTACAAAAGAAAATACTCTGAGGTATAGGTAATGTACCTTTTGATTTTCACACTGCTGAACTATTTAAGACCTATAGGATAATTCATGTTCACAAATTGTATTCATATCGACTTTGTACCAGTTTAAGAGTGAAAGAATAAAGGGCACATGTTTCTTACAAAATCTTGCATTGTTGGAGGAAAATTCACCAGTGCATTCTACTCGTCACGCGGAGAAGTGGAAGATGGTTACTCAGCGAACTAACTATGGCTCTCAAATGCTTCAATTTACTCTTCCAAATGTGCTGATACTTCGTGCAGTAGTAATGTTTCCCTTGAAAACTTGACTTTCAAAGACTTGCGTCGATATTTTTGTACATGATGCATTATTTTCATAAAACGTTATTTGTTTTGTTTCCTTTTTTTGTTAACAATACCTTCAGCCGCTACTGAATGTGATTTTCATCTTTGTTTCTCGGTGCTTGCCGTTGACCACTGTAAGGGGACCGAGGACCAGTCAAGCTGCATATCGCAGCTTTTTTCCTCGGGCTCCCCCACCTAGATTGATGGAAATAAAGATACTATTATTATCATTATTATTATTATGAAGTTATCAGGTTTCTTTCTCGCGACCACCGCCAGGGTATTATTTCCGGCTTCTGGTTGGCGGCATTCGAATTTGTGAAGACCAGCCTGGAACACGCCCAGCCCGCTTTCGGCCCAACGGCGCCCCCTCATTTCTCTCCTATACTTCCCAACGAATGGCCAAACTCTCTACATATTCGGCTGTGGTGTACACACGCCAGCAGCAACATGATGGCAGCCAGAGGCCGTACTTGCAAAAGCCCATAGATGAAGTGCGTCAGGTTTGATGTGGTCGCCCCGAAGTGCATCAATTCCTCCTAGATGACATCTATAGTGACTGAGGAATATTGCACATAAGATCTTCAGTTGTCCCGCCTCCAGCGCGAGCTACCTACTTTCCACAACGCTTTGGTGTCTCGTGCACCTCGAGCCCGCGCACGCAGCCAAAGCATGGTCCTCCATGCTTTGGCTGCGTGAAGCGCGTGCTGGAGGCCGCGTGTTAGAAAGACACGCGATTCTCATTCTGTGAGTGACTATACGCCTTGCAAGTGGGCTCATTTTCGTCTTCTGCGCATGAGAAAGGAAGTAGCGGTGACGTCAGAACGCCGAGCCCTGATTGGCTGATAGCGACCCCCTATCACAGCGTCGTCTGCTCCTTTGCAACGTCGTCTGCTCGCAACATCGTCTGCGTCTGTCTCAGCTTTTTTCAGAAGTGCAGGTCTTTACGAGCGAGCTCGACTTAGCCTTTCAGAGAGAGCAGACGAAATTACTCGAGCGGTAAGTTGTTTTAGAGCGCAGCTCTTAGGCGCCCGTTTCTGGCTTGAGCGGCGTCGCCGTCGCCGTCGGCGTAACCAAGGTCATTCCAAGGTCACGTGACCCCCCCCCCCCCCGAGGTCACGTGACCCCCGGAGCATATTAAAGAATGAGGGGAGGAAGAGGAGAATGAGGAGGAGGAGGACAAGGAGGAGTCTACACTCCCCTCAGTACCCTTCCCTCTTCCTCCTCAAGAGCTGCGCTCCAATTCGGCGTGACAGTGAGTTGTAAACGGCTTTCACTTTTTTGTCTAACAACTAGCAGACGCGCATCAAGGAGGGAAGTTAAAGGACTCACTGGCGAGGTGTCCCGGGGCGCCGAGGTTTGTTTGCTTAGCACCGAGAGTGAGCGTGTTAGTGTCCGCAAGTTCCCTCCCAAATACTTTTTCCCTCCATTCGTGTGCGGCGAGACCCCTCACTCTTTAACGGCGTCGGCGGGTTGGCGCAGTTAACGTCGTCTGCTTTACGTCGCTAGTCAAAGCGATGACTGCTTTACCTTTCCAGCGTCTGTCGGAGATTCACCGCTTTTTCACCGGCGAGGGTCACCGTTGCCTCGGGAAGCAAGGAGATAACAAGAGGAAGAGATTGACCTCTTAATCTAAAATTGAGGTCAGCGATCAAAGTATAATACGGGAAGGGTTCACAAGGGTCGCGCGGGCATATTCCATTCAGCACGCCAGCCCGTCGTGGGCAGACGGTCGCCGAGTCGCGGAGTGCCTGTTAGGCCTAACTGCCCAGCTCGTTTGGTCGCTTTCGGTGGAATTGTGGCCGTTGGAGCTTTTCCCGGATGTTTGTGGATCCAGCGTTCTTGTTCGTCGTGATCTGTTTCAAGTACTTCTTAATTTTGTTCTTGCTGCTTGTAGTCGGGACACGTCAGAAGCGTAGGTAGAAAAATAAACGTCCGTAGGTCGTTGCGACCGCGACGCTGTCGGCCATGCTGATTTGATCGTAAGAAGTGCGTAAGACAGCTTCGGAGCTGCCGTAGGATTTCATCGTAACCTGCGCAAAACTTGCGAACATTTCGTTTCGTGAATACGAATTTGTTCTTAAGTTTTGTCTTACGCACATTTTTGGCGAAAGATCGTTTCGTGAATCTGGCCTCTGCGCTTCCGAAAGTCGCAGGAAAGGTAAGACAGACGCAGACGACTTTACGAGCAGACGACGTTGCAAAGGAGCAGACGACGCTCAGATAGGGGGTCGCGATGAGCCAATCAGGGCTCGGTGTTCTGACGTCATCGCTACCCCCTGCGAAAGAAGCAGACGAACTTGCCATCCGCATAGGAGGCGTTGAGGTCGCCCATATTGAGCTTTGGCAAGAAAGGTCCCTCACCGGTGTTTCGACATCGGTCTTGGGTTTCCACCGGAACAGATTTCAACGACGACGGCGAGCTGTGCAAGGAGGACCTGGCTGAGCTGATTCACCGCCTCACCTGGCTGCACGACAAGAAGCTCGAGCACCAAGAAGTGCAGCTGCTCATCGAGAACGTGCTCCGAGAAGCGGACCTGGACCAAAACGGAAGACTCTCCTTGCTTGAGTTCCAGCACTGCATGCGCAAGAACCCGGACTTCGAAAGGCACGTATCGGAACTTGACGTGGCAAAGACGTGGGCCCTTTCGCGGTTGTCCTCGACACTCGCGTATTCCAACAGCCGCAGTCTGCTTTCTTAGTTGTCGGGGTTGTAGGAATAATCTACAGTGCCGAACGAAAAAAAACAAAAAAACTGCGAATGGCAGAGCGACAGTTCCTCGCCCTCGTTGTGCAACTCAACGGTCGGTAGCGGAAGGTCTCGCGTATCTTTCGGTGCTTTTCGAAAATAGTGACGGTGCCAAGTGGCTGGACCTTTCAATAAATGTGACCCACACCGTCTTGTTTAAGTCTTCTACCACATTTGGTGCTAATCGCCGAATTGACAATGGGGCACGAGCAATCCGAATTTCTAGGCATGACACACAAAACCACGCAAGATCAGCCTCAAACTGATATGATAAGTACGTTATGGCAACTCGCATAGTAGTGTAAGACTCATAAAAATATATGTGTTTCATCACGTGGCATTCCAAACGCATGCGTGCCTTATTGTTAACTCAGCGAAGGTGTGGCGACTAGCACCACATTTGGCGTAATAACAAATCTAAGCGTGAATTACCATTAAAGAACCAGCCAGTTGACACCATCACTATAGTCTCGAAGCACACCACAGGATGAGCGAGAGCTTCCGATGGCTACCGTTCAGTGGCGTGACGAGGGTGACGGCTGTCGCTCCGTCGTTCACGTTTCTTTTGTTCGGGACTGTACAGTGCTCAGCAAACTTATACGAAAAACTCGAACTCTGCCTCATTTATTTATTTATTTATTCATACTACTCAGCTTTTCGAGGCTTTAGCGGGGGTGGTACAGCATAAGTTCGAAATACAATGCTCAGCTATATAATGGAAACGCTATCCTGGCTGCAGCGGACGAACTGCTCGCTGAATGAATCCTCCCGAGCAGGGGAGGTCGCTCGCTCAAGGCCGACATTGCGGCTGGAACGAGAAAGCGCAGCAGTATGGCCTGCAGGGCGATCCCCGCATTTCGTCACTCCCTCCAATTACTGCGCATAGGCGACTGCCAAAACCATCAGTTACTGGATGGCTGATTCAGTAGAAACATGCTGATTGCATTACCAGGCCTACCAAAAAAACCAGTAAAACGTTTCGCTAACTTCATTATGAAACAGCAAATCTAACTGGATTTCTTGCTGGAAGCCTAAAATCCAGTGTGCAGACCATTTATTTATTTATTTATTGAAAGTACCCTCAGGGCCCGTTAGGCATTACAGAGGGGTAAAGCACATACATGAAACAAAGATAGTAAAATAGTAACAAGTCAAGAATGATAAATATACAACAAACCAGGCATGTACACATTACTCAAAAAAGGTAGTTAAGTTACTGAGTAGTGACGCCAAAAGTAATTGGAGTAGAGTAGAAATTACGCATTTGTAACAGTAACTGAGTAAACTACTAACTACTGTAAAAAGTGGTGAGTTACTTTGAAGTTACTTTTGAAGTTACTTTTTGTATTTTTGTGGTAGCCTGACACGCCTGACAAGAAAATCGTTTTCAACAAAGAGGAGGTTTTTTCCGGCGTAGAAGGTCGGAACGGCGCGAAGGATTAAGTGAACAAGCGTCGTCGTTCGTACAGTTATAGACGCTTTACAGCAGCTGCGCATGGGCGCCGCCATAACTGACCTTCAGTTTTTGTTCCCTCTTATTCCGTTCGCTTCACTTCATCATTACCACAGTAGGACAGGTTATTGCAATTTTAGATGCTACTGTGTTCTTGTGCCCAGCATAGGCCCTTGTGAAGACCCGTCAACGCCCGCTTCAGTGGCTCGGCATCTCGGTAAGACAAGAGAAGGGCAGCTATGGCGGCTCAATCTGGCGCGTGTGTAAAGCGTCTATAGCTTGAAGCGGGAAGGTGCTCCCATGAACGGATTATCCGTGTCTGCGTTTGTGGGCGGGGGAGTCTGGCTTTGGGCAAGGGAGGATGCGCTGACGACGAGGCGACCATGGTAACAGGCGCCAAGCTGCGAGGTCATCCTAGTGGCGCCTACCCGTGGAACCCCAAACCGCTTGAGTCAGAACTCACTCAAGGCAGACAACATGAAAACGATCACCCCCCTCGGAGTGTCCCCGACTTTCACGGTTGCAGTTGGAGTCGCGGCGCTTACGTGCATTACCGGATTAGGTCAATACCCGACCCAGGCTTGTTAAGCATCTGTTCCTGCGTTCGTGCGCGCCGGTGTTATGTTTTCGCTGCTTGTCGCCACCTTGGCCCAACGACGACTGTGGGAACGGAATGTGAGGGGGCCCTTTCCTCGTCACTTCATCTGCCGGCGTCTTATTTATTTCTGCGGTCAAACTTTTTGTGGTGAGCAAAACTAGCATTAGATTTTGAAAGTAGTTAGTAATTTGAGTAGAAGTTACCTAAAAAATGTAGTTAAGTTAAACTACCAATTACCCAAATAAAGTTGTAATTGAAAGTTACCAAGTTATTCGGAAAAGTAGTTAAACTACAGTAGGTTGAGTAGAGTAGTTCAACTGCGTCCAAGTCTGCACCAAAGAAAGGAAAAAACCACAGGTCACTGCTAAAATAGTTGGTGATTGAATTTCTAAACAGGTTAGTATCAGTTATAGTAGCAATCAGCCCTGGGAGGTGGTTCCCCCACTGTGCGGGGTAAAAAAGATTGAAATGTTGTGGTAAATGAACTTGGAACTCCAGCTATGTGCTGATGGTCAAAACGGGATGAAATGTAATAGGGGGGAGTAATCATCTGATTGCGTAGGAGAGGATTATGAAAATACATTTTATGAAATAGACATAGGCGTGAAATTTTACGTCCCAAGGTGAGAAGTGGTAAACATAAACTATTTTTCATCGATGTGACACTAGCAGTGCGGTGGTAGTTGGAAAGAATGAAACGAGCTGACCTTTTCTGTATGGGTTCCAATGCAGTGATTAGAGTATCGTGACCGGGATCCTAGATGGAGGCTGTATATTCTAATTTAGGCCTGATTGATGTTTCGTAGAGGATCAATTTTAGTGAAAGAGGTGCCAATGAAAAGTTGCGTTTTAAGTAGCCCAACATGCAGTTAGCACGGGTAGTAACGTACTGAATGTGGAGTTTCCATGAAAGGTTATTTGTTAAGTGAGCACCAAGGTACTTGTACGTTGCCACTTGCTTCAAAAGGTTGCCTTCTAAGTGGTAAGAGGGACTGTTGTTCGGTTTACGGGACACTCTCATGTGTTTGCATTTGCTATAGTGTTTAGTTTCATTAGCCATAATTCACACCAACGCGAAAAAGAATTAATATCAGACCGAAGTGCAGATAGGTCAGAATCATGACAGATTTCACATTGAATTACACAGTCATTGGCGAAGAGACAAACGGATGGAGACACATTAATGGGAAGATCGTTAATATAAATTAAAAATAGTAGTGGGCTTAAAACAGACCCTTAAGGAACTCCAGAATTCACAGACACAGGTGGAGAGTTTTCGTTGTTAATTGTTACAAATTGTGAACGGTTATTCAAAAAAGGCCGAATCAAAGAGAGAACGTTAGGATCAATGTTAAGTTTTGCAAGTTTTAGCAGTAATAGCTCGTGACACACCTTATCGAATGCCTTGGCGAACTCTAAGAAAATGCAGTCCACCTGGGAGCCTCGGTCAAGAATAGAATGAATGCCATGAGTGAAGGATAGGAGTTGGGTTTCACAAGATAATGATTTACGAAATTCGTGTTCTGCTTCAGTCTGCTATCTGGATTTCAGGTTTTTAGCAAGTAATGCAGTCAGATTTTCTCTTTTATAATCTAGTTAGCGAAAGGTTTTTTGTTTTGTTTTTAGGTCCAATGACCGAAGGTCTCGACAGTCACCTATGGACCTTCGTGCAAAACGTTGGCGATAAATACAGACAGGCCGGTCCAAAACATTTCTGCTAAGTCCACAGTCCAACCGTGATTTCGGCCTTGAGCGAGCGGTTTCTTCTGCTCGTGCATGTTCAATCAAGCCGCCAGGGTTGCGCCACCGTACTATATTACACAGTTCGCGTGTTCCCGATAAGTTTGGTGTGCACTGGAGTTCTATTGACTCGTCCAACACAAAGTTGAGGTCGAAAGTTCGCAAAGTGTGCGGTTTTGACCTTGGCGACAAAAGCGCGGCTTCTTCGCGACGAAAGTTCAATCGTCGCTCTCCATAAACTTCGGCACAAACGTTGCTGGACGAGCCTGGGGCCTCTGTGCGTAAAAGAAGGGGAAAGGCCCCTGCGTGAACGTTATAATCCCACAGCTGGAGTAAGACACTCACCTCTTCGTTAACTATAAGTCCTTAGAGCTGTAAGTACTTAGATAACTACAAGTCCTTACAGACCCGATGCCCCGTCAAAAGACTATGGCGCAATCTTTTTCAATCTCTGCCCTGCGCTGGCTATCCGTAGGTGGCGTAGAAAATCCAGCTCTAAGGACTTATTGTTATCCAAGAGGTGATGGTAAGGCTCGCATAGGGACGCGAGAGAGCAGTAATACGTTCGGGAATAATGTAGAAAAAAGTTAATTATGTTACGCCAGTGTGAACCTATTTATGACTGTTTCAGAGGGTTGTGAGCTGACTGGGAATTATTACCTGATTAATCGATTATTTAAATGGCCCGATGAAGATTTTGCTAGAATGGTTAAAGTATTGTGAAATTAAAAATGGAACCTTATACATATTCACTTTATCCGAGACAAGTTTTACTACAAAACGACATAAACAGAAAGAAAGTTTCAGGCACAGTTGTCTTTTATTAGACAGAAAAGGACTTTAACAATCTGCAAAAGACAAAAAGGATGACATGAATAAACCCTTTCCACAAGTTTACCTCTGCTGACAAACACTTTTCAAGGTGGAAATCCTTCTCGGGCCTTACACCCCACTGCTGAACTCAGTTCTCTAAAGTCCCCAAGAACATATAACATGAAGAAACACTTTCCACAAGTTTACCTCTGCTTACAAGTACTCTCCAAAAAAAATTCCTCCTCGAACCTTTCACCCCTGTGTTTTATTTAATTATGTTCTCAAGGACCGAGAACACGAAGAGACGACCTACTATCCTTCGGTTAACCTTAAGAGACAAAAAAAAGAAAAAAGGGAAAAAGTGTTAAAAACCAAAAGGTGCAAAAAAAAAAAAAAAAAAAAGAAGTTGGCTGATCTTATTGTTTATAGAAAGAGAACTACGCCTTAATATTTCACAATGTAAAATCCGTCACCCTGAAATAATAATCAAATGTTAATGCTGCTCCAGTTTGTCTCGTGCCCCAGAACAACCAGGCGGTTACAGTGGTTACAGTATGGTGCCAATAAAAAACAAAACTACATTAAAACAAAATATACTGACGTGTCGCAATTTCACACAAAAGCTAATTTAAAGTATGGCAAGATTTTTTGGCGTGTCGCAATTTCACACAAAAACTAAATAAAATATGCCAAGATTAAAAAAAAAATACAATACTGTGAAAAGACAGCAACATAAAGCATCAGGACAGCATCAGACACCAATGTTGATAGCTCAGATTGGATGGATCGGTAAAATCTGCATGAGCTTCTGAACACACAAGTCGGCGCATAAAGTCCAATGACGACAGCTAATAGTAATCCTAGCGGCACTGAACTACTTCCCACACAAGAAGTGCCACGTACAATCCCTCTTTTTGGCAAGTTTTGTAATGAGAGTTCACAGCATGTAGACATACTCCTTTGGACTGGGATAGTTGCTTTTTGCGCATTAATTTAACTGTGCTGCGAAGGATTACATATAACGACACTGAGATTTGAAAGACAACGCGAAATACAGAAATAAGCGTAAACAGCTGTTTATTTTCCTTCTGCAGAAAAGAGGGGGAGGGGGCGTGAAAAGAGAAGGAAGAGGGGAACAAGGGAAGAGAAGTAACAAAAACGTAAATAAAGAATGAAGAATTGTTTTGCAATTTCAGCCATAAAAGCGCTCAAACAAACGCCGGTGTCACCCATGCACGTGCGTACGGTCCGTACTGCGATTATCTTTTATGTAACTTTTTTTTTTTTTTTTGAAATCTATTGAAGGGTTGTTATACACGTTCCGTGCGTCCCTGACGTCATATAAGAAACGCGCTTTTGCCTTTTCCAGTATCTAGACATTATGATGTGTTTTTTTTTTCATTACGCCTCACAACTGCGCTTTGCACAATGCGCTGCCACATTCACTGAGATTAGTAGGAGCTTGGAGGCGTTTGTGCTTCAGAAGCCTATCATTTAAACGTCTTCCTGTCTGGCCCTCGTAGGCTTTTCCATACCAAAACGGTATTTTGAACTGAACTCCATCGGCACAATCTACAAACTTGCACTTGTGTCGTACCGGACACGCGACTTCTCTCGGTGTGCCACCTGCTAACCTGTTTACTCTTTGTCAAGTTTCTTGAATTTGAAAGGGACGATAACATGATTCTGACTCGAAATTCGCTAGCAAGTTTTATCAGCCTGTGGGATACATTCTGAACATAAAGCAACACTACCTCATACTTCTTGTTAGGCTCCCTGCTAATTTATTCCCATCACGTTTAGAAGTATTTAAACACTATCTGCTACCGTAGCCAGTAACTGATCAGGGTACTGGCTACAGTGCCAGCGTCCTACCTGTAGGCGTAGGCTGTCATCCACTCTCTGAGGGCACGAAGTTCTAGGTCCTGGCTCGTGCAAGCGGAGGCGAGGCCCGAGTCGCACGGCAGAATTCCCTTCGCCCCTCTAGAGTTGTATATCCAATAAGTGTGAACGTCACTGAAAATCAGGTTGAACTACAGGAACAGTAGTCAGGCCTTGTTCAGGAATTCAAGTGTTAGCTTTATTCCTTACTACCGTCCGAGGATTTTCTTCATCATTGTGACTGGGAAATTGTGTGCTGGGAAATACACCAGGAAGCCGTCATCCCAGTATCTGAAGCACTTCACCTGACTAATCCCTACCAAGAACACCTGCAGTTTCCGATTGCCCCTTGCCGGATGCATGTCAAACAACGCTGGCGTTGTGCAGGAGCGGATGCAGATGCCTTCTTTTTGCCAATATATATCACCATCGAACTGAATATGCACGAAGTCCAGTTAGGTCCGCACAAGGTCCAGAAAGTCTGTTGTGCTCAAATCGTACTGATTGCGATATCTAACGCAACCGTAAGTTTCAATGGACTCTTCAACTTTCTCTACTATCTCTTCCTCTGGCACGTTGTAAAACATGTAACTCCATTAAACTGAGACGCACGCAACAGGTTGCATCTGTTTCAAGAATCCAACCCCGTTTTTCGAGTTGCAAACCAGGAAGGGGTCATCCACTTGAAAAATGGATAAGTGTTTTTGTAGTTCTCTCGTTGACACATTTTGCCCATTTCCTTCGTCTTCAACTATTAACCGAAGTGGGAAACTTTTCTTATGCGTTTTAACTTTAAATAAAGTGCCGAGGCAAAGTTCCCGGCTGTGTCCCCTAGGTCGGCCCCCTAACCGGTAGAATATTGTATAATTTCACAGCCTTACCGTTTCGACAGAATTGACAGAAAAGAAGTATGAGTACCGCTGCTTGGCAAGGTGGTAACAAGTATGATCCGGCTGTTGCCAGGTTTTTCATAGCATGTGTTTGTTGTACATAGAAGCACTTAAGGGGCGCAGCTCGTTTCGGCGGTTTTCTCGTGAAATCTTGCTACGTGCAGGGCTTGTGTCACGTACAGAAATAACGGCGAAATTTATAAAATTGGGTTACTAAACTCGTGCACTTTCTCTCCTCCACAGCTGTTTCCGCCTGCGATTGTGAAGCAGCCTGCAACCCAAAGTGATGAACGACGAACTGCTTCGCTTCAGTGACGTCATTTCTCCCTAAAACACCCGAAACTGGGAGGATAAACTCCAAACAACCGAAGTGGAAGAAACAGAAAATTACGACAGACGTCAACATTCCTGTTGTTTTTTATTCCGTGAAAGTTGTTCAATTAAAAACCCAATGAAACGAGTTTTGGTGGTGTCACTATATTTCCATTTTTAGGCGCACAGTAACACTAAAGCGAATGTTTTGAGTTCAGAGCTGACTACGCATATTTGTTCGCAGGACCTGGAGAGGGGTGCCAACATTGACATCCGAAACCTTTCACGGGTTCATAAGCTTGGCACTTATGTGAACAGGTTCCAATGAAATGTCAGAAAGGCCGATTCGTGAAGGCTGCCATGACTGCGCTGTCTAATTAAAAAAAAAAAAAAAACGGACAGCGGTCATAAAATTTTTTCAAAATTAAGTAGCTCATCAGTGTAATTTTTTTTTTTTTTTTGCATTCTAATAGCGGTAAGAAGCTTAGGATTACATCGGGCACCATAATTGTCGTGCGTCCAGCGGCAGGCGATAACTTTTTCTTCACTGTGCATTACTTCCTTGATTTGCTTCATTTGCGATGTTGACTAAAGGACTACCCATAAGTGAAAAAAAGCAAAACCGTTTATAAAACTCATCAGAGCAAACAGCTTGGGAGTCGAGTGTACGTTAACTGTTCAATTAGACGCGAGTTCAAAATGAACGCATTTTGGGCGTCGCACTTTGTTAAACTCTAGAATGCGGTTCTTGCGCTATCCGCTTTTGTGCGCGTCTTTAGCTTCCTTCATCATCCACCTGAAGGCCGCCATTAGAAAGCGACAGATGGCATACATTCCGGTGTCCGATGATGATAGCGATGAAAGTGGCGAAGCTGAATTTCAGAAAAGGTCTACTCCGACGATCATGCACGCAACAACTTTAGCCCGAGATTGTATACTACAAGGACAGCAACTTTCCTTATTCAAGAAAAATAACTTTTGTTGTGTAGAATAAGATGGTGCAAGTTCCTTTTCAGCACGTATTAACAGCAACGCACCGATGATGGCTAGTGAACGCGCTCGATGATGACACCGGCTGAGTGACGTGCCGAAAGACAATCCAGAATCATCATTTGAAGTTTACGTCACGGCGAAATTATAGTTAACGTTCATGCAATTAAGATTTACATCATTTGACGAAATAAAGTAGTCTAAAAGTTTCAGAAGAAATGCACCTTTGTATTGGCAATTGAGAAATACAATAAATATTCACAAATCAAAATTACTACCGTCATTGTGCCAGGCAGCGCTCGCGGAAAAACTACGTGATGCACAATAAATAGATTACTGTGCTTTCACTGTGCCACATTGTAGACCTTTGTTGGTTGTTAATTGGCACAAATAAAGGCATTATGAAAGGCTTAGGAGACAAAAAAAAAGAACCGGTGGAGCTGTATTTCAGGAAGCCGCAAGCTGTCCCTATACTATTGCTAAACTTGTTTGGTTTGCAGCACTATTCGATTGAATCGCGAGACCTTTAGATCCCCCCAGTCAGGAGGCCGCCATATTTGAGAGGCCGGTGACGTTCCCTACCCCGCCTCTCGCGTCTCCAGCTCGTCACTCGCCCTCCCGCGTCACTCGCCCTCCCACGTTTGAACTTAGATCATGAGCAACTAAATATTTTAGAGCTTGAAAATTGCGTAATTAAATATCTTAATATTAATATTTATATTAATATTAATACAAATCGCGGCAACGTATGCCCCCAACTAAGGTACGATCACAAAAATACGCCATTTAACCATAATTGTCTTTTCTGAAAAGAGTCATTTTGTTTTCTTTTTAGCACATGAAGACCTCTGGCATCGTTATCAAGATAGACAAGCAGTCAAACACTAGATACAATATAAACTCATATGCGTCACTCGTTACTTTAAAAGCACGCACACTTCAGCTGCCTGACTCGGATTCCGTGTTTGAATATTTATAGTGAGAACAGCGTTTCTTAAATCATATGTTTTGTGAACATACCGTAAATTGGATTTATTCTGTTATTCTTGTGCTGGGTAAAGTGATAAAGCAATTAATCATCTAAATACCCAAAAAGCAATTGAAAGGCCCGCAGTTCATTGTTTCATGTGACAATTATGTGAGCGAGAAAAGACAGACACATTTTGAGGTATGAAAGAATCTGAAATTAATACCGATACCGAGAAATTAATTCCAAAATAAAGGTTAGTTTCGGTTTCACTCCGGAATTAAAATGTAGCTCCTCGCCTAAATATTACGCTAAATACCGTCTTTGTTTTCAGGATAAAGAGGTAACCTGCTATCATAACACCCTAGCTCCCTAGCAGGGTTGGGCAGAAATACTCAAAAATGTATTTGGAAACACGAATACTGGGATACATTAAACTAGTAGCTAAAATACTGATACTGAAATATATCTGTAAATTTTTTTATCGCGATACGTATCGGAAATACACTTTAAATAGAGGCAAAAAGTATTTGAAAATACAAATACAGGAATACATTTTAGGGAGGGCAAAAATACAAATACAGAAATACTGATACTGCAATAGATTTTTTTCGAATTTGTTTGAGACGCCAAATGAGATGAAGCTTGAAGTTGGAAGTGAAAGTTTTTTATCCCGAAATTACTTTCCCGTAAGCTTGGCACTTTGCCTTGAAGGTAGTGGTTTCGAACGACGAGGAGTCTTCAATGGGCTCAAAAAAACGTTCCATCAAGGACTGCCTGCGGTCCCTTCCCTGACAGCTTCTCTGTCTGACGAGGGATGCGAAAAGACTTCGGCTTCTAAATAAATTCCATGACATCCTAAATCCCATCAAAACGTCGCCACGGCCCTGTCCAAAAAGGACAGGGGCGTGGTGATTTACGACATACGTGTTTGGCATTGCTCAAACGTACCCTACGGCTCGTAAAATTATTTCTAGTTGTCTTCATCCGGCCTATATATCTCTAAGGAAAAATAAATTGTGTCTTAACGTCGGGGTCACCACTAATCAAGTAAACAATCGCATTTTTTGTGATAGCATGAAGTTCCGATCAGAACTTCATGCTTTCAGCAAGATAGCAGATGGTCTGAAAGCGGTGGCGCTGGGAGCGTTACACTCGATTTGCTCCGCACCGCGTGCCACTGGAATGGATCACGTGACCGATCGCTCACGGAGGCCAACCGCTCGATGACCGCTAGCGCGGGGCGCTCGGCATCTGCCAGGGGAAGGGGCTATACATTTATGATACATATATCTGCTAGCGTCCCTAGGCGCGGCGGCGCAACTCCGATCACCTCTTGCATGCAGTCACAGACTTGGCTTTTCTCAGCGCTTGGACTGCTTTGGCTTTCAGCTTCTTCGTTTCCCTCCCACGTGTCGAATCCACGGAATCTCCGGCATCACTCACATCGTCGGAATCAAATTTCGGCACACTAGGAGCAAGGAGCAGTGTAAGAGACTAGGATATGAGTGAGGCAGTGTAGCGTGCAGCGTGCGAGCGTGGCGAGTACGGCTAAGCCTAGATTGAGGGAGCGTTAAACTATATCCTTAGAACCACGTGGTTCATGGACTCCATAATGTGACTAGTATGAGCCGATTAGGGGCATGGTATCTCCGAGTTCCGTCAGGGTTGCCATGGTCGGTAGATGAAAATGATCGACATTAGAAAATTCCTTGAAATTACTAGAGCTCTAAAAGCCGCGAAATTTGGCGAGTATATATGCTAAAATTGTTTTAGGTGTTACCGAAAACAAGTAACGAATTACGTTACTCGTTGCTTTCAGATAAACACGTTACCAATGTATGCGTTATCCCAAAATGATAGGGACGCGTTACGTTATAATGCATGCGTTTTACTGTTTTGGTGTTAGAGTATATTTGAAAGCTCATTATGCTCTATATTTCAAGATAGTTTGCTCATGCAGAAAACTAAAGAGCAAGAATAGTATGTTTACTTTGACATGCTTCTTTAGGATGAATCTCGAGCACCTTGCGCAACTTTTGAGCCTCAGTTTTGGTAAAAAAAATTAAAGACGTTTAAAAATCCCTGTAATGTGAAATTAGAGCGCAGCTCTTGAGGAAGAGGAGGGGAGGGTACGGAAAGTAGGGTATGCCCCTCCTCCTCCTCCATACCCTCTCCTCCTCTTCCTTTTCTCTCATCCCCTCCTCCTCGTCCTTCTCCTCCGCCTCTTCCCTCCCCCTCCTCCCTATAGAGTGATTGTATTGTGTGCTATTAGTTCATAAGATTTGCTGCTTAAATATACAGAAAGATATTTTTTATGGACACTGAATTTCCTTTTTTTTTAATGCACAAACTGCTAACTGATTGCCGTCTTCGCGGGGTGTTTCTCGATTTCGGCGGACATTAGCTGAGGGAATAACCGTCATGCTAATAATAATCGTTATTTTGTTGTGTCCACAAACAGCACATAGCCTAAATAGTCGTACACAGCTCGTCAAAGGAAATGAAATGCAGACAGCCACGCAGATCCAAAATTATAGACAAATTATCGACTCCAGTGTACGTCGAAAAGCTGTCACGTCACTAAAAATGTCTATAGCAGATTGGTCAAGCCTGCTAAATTCCAGATGCATATCAAGTCAGGGCGTAGAACGCGCTCTGAAACCGACTAGACCACAAGGGAACATGGAAACAAACAGTACTTAATTGAAGTGATGAATCAAATGGGATCCGGACGTTTCGGTGTAGGGCGTTTCGGTGCGGTCTTTTCTGTGCACGGACTTTCCGGTGCACGGACATTTCGGCGCACGGACTTTTCATTGTGGGACTTTTGGGTGCGCGGACTTTTCGGTTTCACGGACATTTCGGTGCACGATATTCAAATATTCGATTTTTTTTTTATGTAATAAGCATTATTTTAGGCAGAAGTGATTTTTTTTTCGCACTTTATAAATGTGTAGGTTTAGTCATTCATTTATGGTCACTTACTCATACACGACCTAAGTGACTTTGTTTGGCGCAGCACATCCTGCGAGAAGACTGGATACGTTGGACGTTATGTTTCGTTTTGCGGTGTCTCTTTTCCAACGTAACTAGACGCATCACATAGTATTTACGCGTTGGGTCGATACAGACGTTCTCGGCGCCTTCTGTAAAGGTGTGGATTTTATTATTGGTAATGTGTGTAGGAA